GTGCCTCCCAAAGCCCCGAGGTGAGCTGGGTAGTGGGGCTGGCATCATTTCACTGAAGACACGACGGAAGTCTGAAGAGGCCACTGACTGCCCAGGGACCTGTCAGGAGCCAGTGGCAGATCCAAGACCCCTAAATCTCGGCAAACCACGCTGCTCTTCTCCTGCCTTCACCAGCCCCGATGCAACTCATCCTTCCCTAAAACCTGGGCAAGGGACCAGGACAGTGTTCCCAGAAAAAGCCACAGGATCCCAAGAGACAGCCCATTTGCTGGAGTGCAGCCAGGAAATCTCTGCTGCCCAATCCCAATCCAGTTGTTTGGCCCTGCCCACCCCCACCCCATCCCCGCGGAGGCCAGAAGTGGGGAGGGAAGGCCACAGCTGGCTCACTTCCTCTCTCATTGTCTTCCAGACAATGGGCAAAGTTCCACTGAGTCAGACCAGGGACTTACTACACCACAGACCCAAATTAGGACAAGGTGTGGGGAGAGGTCGGGACAGGCTGTGAGGAAGGAACCTGTCAGCAGGGCCAAATGACCAGAGAAACCCAGAGATTAGAGAGGGTGGGGAAGGAGGGAAGCCAAGCCAAGATGTCCTGGGTCCAGACAGGTCCAGCACCCCACGCCAGACACTGGCCCCAGCACTCAGACACAGCAAAGTTAAGTTAAGGCTCACTTGTCAACGAGCTCCTGTTCCGGGCCAGGACGCCCTCACCACACACAGGCTGCTCGCGTGTCCGTATCTGGCGGAGACAGACACTCAGCCCGGCAGCTATGCAAGTGCCCGGCCCGATAAGAGCCTGGAGAAGGAGGGTCTGTACAAAGAACTCTACCTTCAGGGGGCTGGGGGAGAAGGTTCTTAGGACAGGAGCGGAGCGGGGCGCTAGAGTCTATCCTCACCCACCTTGCTCATCCACGACTTCCGTTTACATAAGGCCTTCCTCCTCTTCACGGCCTCCCACAGCCGCCGCTGGCCTGCGGGGAGGATGGGGAACCCAGTGCTGTTAAGGCAGCTCCAGCCCCCGGAGAGGCTGCTGGGTGAGTCCAGCACTAGACACCACCAGCAGTGATACCGATGAAATTGATCCCAACTGACCAGGAGCCTCAAGTGCCCAGACGGCCGCTGCACTCCAGGCGCTGGCTCTCAGACTGGGTAGAGGGCTGTAACCAAAATGTGGACGCAGTGGTCTGCTCCCAGCTCTCAGGAAAAGGCAAGGTGATGAACAGAATCTTCTCAGTGTGGAGGCTTTTTCCCTCCATAACATTTTCTGATGCTACTGGCATCAGACACCAACTATCCAGCCCAAAAGTAGCATAAATCAATGTCTAATTTAGTACATTATTACCCATTTATAGCAATTTTAAGTTGAAAGCCCCAATATGTTTCTAATGTTCTATGAAGAACATTATGACTTTAAGATGCTACAACCCCTACTTTAGAAGACACAGAGCTGAGCTCAAATTAGAGCAAACCTGTGTGTGTGCGTGTATCTGTGTGTGTGTGAGAGCGCACGCCAGCATGAATGTATCAGCAAACCACCCGAGAGTCGGCCTTCTCCCTATACATCTCTGGACATGGACCCCCCTGGCATTCAGAATGATGAGCAGAACAGACTCGATTTCATGCTTATGAAGGAGGCGGCGATCGAGGAAGTACGTCCTCTGTGAGCACAAACAGAGCAGGGTCTGTGGTGGCTCCTGCGTAGCCAGGGTTTTAGGGAAGGCCTCACTCTCCTCAAACTCGATTCACCTTTACAACTGCCAGCTATTCTCCGCACATAAGCATCTACTGATGTCCGTCCTGCTCTACCTCAGGACTCTGGGACAGACAGAGGTCTCAGCCGCCACCCACCATTCAGTGGTCCTGAGGACAGAGGATGTAAACGGTCAGGGCCAAGACAAGCCAGGCCAAAGTCCCACCTACCAGGCCGGCCCATGCCAATCTTCTCCAGGTCCTCATTCTTGACATACTCAAAGTGGGACAGGCGGGTGATGTTGAGGTCGTCTCGGAGCCGCAGGAAGTACTGTTGCAGCTGCACCTCGGACAGCAGCTCCAGCAGCCAGCCTGTGCCCTCCTCTGGCTGCATGCTGCCGCCTCCTAGCCTCTGTGGGGAGGGAAGAGTGGATCAGGGACAAGGGGTGCGGGGGAACAACAGAGGCCTGCCCCTGCATGACCTGGGCTCCCCTACACCCAACACACTGCTACCTTCTGCTCCCAAGAGAAGCTACAGAGAACCACCTGGACCCACTTTCCCCATTACTGCCAGTCACAGGGCACAATTAAGGCAGCGGAGACACAGCCCTGGCCCTGGAGTCAGAAGTCAAGACTCTTGATCCTGCAATCTGTGATCTGCGGCTGAGTGGCCCAAGATCAACCCATTTGTGCTCACGTTCCTCACCTGCTCTAAGTCTCTAGTGGTCGAAAGCCCTTGAAAATCTTTTTTTTTTTTTTTTTGAGACAGAGTCTCCTTCTGTCGCCAGGCTGGAGTGCAGTGGCACAATCACAGCTCACTGCAACCTCCAACTCCCTGGTTCGAGCAATTCTCCTGCCTCAGCCTCCCAAGTAGCTGGGATTACAGGCACGTGCCACCACGCCCAGCTAATTTTTGTATTTTTTAGTAGGGACGGGGTTTTACCATGTTGGCCAGGGTGGTCTCAATCTCTTGACCTTGTGATCTGCCTGCCTCGGCCTCCCAAAGTGCTGGGATTACAGGCGTGAGCCACCGTGCCTGGCTGAAAATCTTTTAAAAGCTCTCCAGGAAAATAGATGTGTTCTTACTCCCAACATTTCAGTAAAAATCTTTGCAGGGTGCAGTGTCCCTTGAGATCCAACTATGGACTCCTCAAATGTGACGGACCCCACAGAAAAATCTCAGGACCAGATGAGCCCTAGGCTAAGTTCCTCCCAACACCTGACCACCACGGCCTCTCCTAACAATCCAGAGATCACTCCACAGGTCCCCACATAGGCGCCTACAGGGCCGCAGCAAGCAAAAGACACAGGGAGGGTGGGGACTGGGGTGGGCTTGCAGACACCCATCTACAGGGAGCTCAGATCCCATCAATGGTTGTCACAAGAGACTGTGGTCCAGTGTTGTCAAAGCTTTCCATTTTTTTCGAGAAATAAAACGTGAAATCAGTACTACCATTTTTTTGGAAAAGGTAATATATGCACATGATGAAATATTCAGAAGGCACACTGGGCCATCAAGTCTCACTCCCTCCCCCACTGCACAGCCACCCGCTCCCCAGTAGCTGCCAATGATGCCTTCTGCAGACCCTTTCAGACTCTGCTGTCCCCTACACAAATATTCATGTGTTCGCCATACCATTCTGTTCCTTGATTTCACTTTCCATCTTTCTCCTGACTTCTGAACAATGCTGAATAGTTCAGATTTGAAACACACACACATGCACACCCACACACATGCACACACAGAAGAGCCAATGCCTCCAGGTGAGCAACCTCTGACCTACACTCTCCTGGGCCCAGAGAAGGAAGCTGGTGGCACCTTCAAAGCTAAGCAAGCGGAGCCTCCACACAGCAAACCCTCCCGTCAGAGTAAGAAATGTCAGAGCTGAGGGCTTGGCCAGGCCAGCCCCTGACCCATGCTCAATCCCTAGAGAGGAAAACAGGCAAGAGAAAAAAGGCCAGCTGCCCAGCTGGGGCCAAGCCATCCCCCTCCCCAGCTCTCATCAGAGTGAGAAGCACTTGAGAAGCGGGCACACACAGACTGGCCCAGCATGAGCCTCCTGCCCCCACAGTTCCCAGTGGCCCTGCCAACACAGTGCCAGTCCAGACTTTCTCAGGCAGCTCAGGGAAGTACAAAGAGTAACAAATGGGAATGAGAAACCCTCAGTTCAAATCCTGGCTCTTCCACCACGGTGACTGGGCCAGGCAGTTGGGCCAGCCGGGTGGTTTCCAAACTTTAAGCTGTAACCCTTTATTTGAATGGTTCTCGTAAGGGCTGCACAGCACCCTATGGCATATTTGTGGCCGTCACAATGTTTGGGGGGGACTTAGTGACACCGAGTGGGTGGCTGGGGGACAAGAACATGAGCTATCGTGCAATGCATAGAGCATTCTCGCATTGTCCCACATCCCACACCGCTCAATCACGAAGGTGCGTATGGTCATCCAAACCTAGACTCTGATCCCACTGAACAGGAAAATACTTTCATAGTTTTTTGGTTTTTTTTGTTTGTTTTCTGGGGACACAGTCTCACTCTGTCGCCCAGGCTGGGGTGCAATGGTGCGATCTCGGCTCACTGTAACCTCTGCTTACTGGGGTCACACAATTCTCCTGCCTCAGCCTCCCATAGCTGGGATTACAGGCACCTGCCACCATGCCTGGCTAATTTTTGTATTTTTAGTAGAGACGGCGTTCCTCAACATTGACCAGGCTGGTCTCGAACTCCCAACCTCAAGTGATTTGACCTCCTCAGCCTTCCAAAGTGCTGGGATTACAGGCATGAGCTACTGCACCCAGCCTTACAATTTTAATATGCACTAAATTTTCCTGGAATGAAACTACTTTGTAGACTTGTTCAGAACATAGCAGAAGTCCACTGTTTACAAAAAGCTCCGTGAAGGCAACCCCCTCTCATTATTTCAAAACTCCCTCTCAGTCAGCACTTGCAGATGCTGCCTTCATGGTGTTTCCACCTGGGGTCTCAGGATCTGACCCCTTCGCTACGTCGTCTAGGTTACTGACGTGTTAGGACACATAAAATATTATACTTTCTCTCTTCTTATGTCTGTTTATATTGGAGTTCCCATGTGTAGCTTGTTTCATTGTAAACAGGTTAACAGGTTATATAACAGATTATATTTCTATTAATTTTATTTAACAAGAGTAACAATAAAAATAACATCTAGGCTGAGCGTGGTGGCTCACACCTGTAATCCCAGCACTTTGCGAGGCCAAGGCGGGCAGATCTCCTGAGTTCAAGACCATCCTGACCCACATGGAGAAACCCGGAATCACTTGAACCTGGGAGACGGAGGCTGCATTGAACTGAGATGGCGTCATTGCACTCCATCCTGGGCAACAAGAGTGAAATTCCATCTCAAAAAAGCAAAAATATCTAACACTTCAACTGCACTTACTATATTCGACGAACAATTCTAAGTATTAAGCTGTATTAATTCATCCTCAACAAAACCATCTGTTTACAAACACACAGGTGTGGGGTTAAGAGGGCGAGGCACCACCACTTTCAGAAGCAAGCCCAGAGGCACGCTGAAGGCACTGGCCTAGGCAGCATCTCCCCTCGGCCTGGCCACTGCTGCCCTGCCCCTGGACAAAGTGACCCTACTCCTACAGGGCTCAGCCTCAGGACAGGGGCTCCTAGTCTCCAGGAGGCCAAGCAGTCTCCAGGCCCCTCTTCTACCTCCTACCACCAACTCCCAAGGATCCAGGTCCCTTCCTCTAGGTTCCAGAAAACAGCTCAAAGCCATGCGCTGGGTGGCCAGGGCTGAGGGAGACCAGAGGCCCCTCCCCTGAAGCTCTTCAGAAAGCACAGCCCGGCCTGTCCCCTCTGCCTGAAATACCAGCTCGGCTCAGCTGTGCCCTCCCCTCCCTGCTCCCTGACCCAGGAACAATACTGCTTTGCACAGGGATGTGTGTGGGAAGATCTGGAAGACCACTGGGACTGGACCGCAGTGAGGGAAGAGTCAGGGTCTCAGTTCTGCCTCTCCTGCTGAGTCTAGGCCCCCTCTCCTCTCCAAGTCCCCTCCAGCCCAAGTTTCTTTGCGCAGCCCAGAGCATGGCTGCAGCTCCTCCCAAGCGCAGACCCTCTCTAATTCTGCACAAGCCTGGCCCCAGCACCTCATGGAGTCTGCACACCTGCGCCCATGGCTGGCATGCAAACACACAGGCCAGCACAGGGGAAGCCATTTGGCCCAGACGTCCCCGTCAACCCCTCGCTGGAGGGTCCCAAAGCCGCTCCCAGTCTTGCTCTCTGCCTCTCAGGCAAGTGCTGGTGCTGAGGAGCCCACCCAGTCCCCAGCAGTCCAGCCCCTGCCCCCCACTCACTGTGTACAGGCGTCGCCGCAGTCTGGCCAGGAGAGGGAAGGAGAGCTCCAGGCCAGGGAACCGACGCGCCGCCGGCATCTCCACGGAGCTGGACCCCCGAGTGGTTACTGGGGGTCTGACCCCGGAAGCAAGTGAGCAGGGGGCCTCAGCTCCTGGGCTCCACACTCTGCCCAGGAGGGGAGTTGGCCAGGGGTCTGTCCCAGGAGTCCCCCCAATCCCGCACCGAGGGTGGGAAATGAGGAAGAACAGGGTGGGCCCCTCTGCTTTGCCGCAAGCCGGGCTGGGTTTCCACAGCTGGGCAGTCTGGCAGGGGGCTAATAGGTCTCCTCCCGCTGGCTGCAGCCGGGGGCCTCTGTCCTCCTTCTGTCTTCGCTCCAGGGCAGTGGTCACAGTCCAGCCCTACTCCCTGGCTTCCCCGCCCGCCCGCCCTCCCTCTTGCCTCCCTCCTGCCTCCCTCCCTCCCTCCCCAGCTGAGCAGCTCTGACACTGGCTGAAAAAGGACCTTTCTGAATCACTGCCAAGAGGACGGCAGGAATGGGGGGGACTCTTCCTCCCAGCCACCCGCGCTGGCCCCCCTGCCTCCCCATACACAAGGCCCCCTGTCTCTGGCCTCTACCCCAGTCCTCACAGTTGGAGACAACTCCTGGGATTTTAGGGTGGGGGCTATGTGGCTCAAACAGCATGTACAAAGAGGGGCTGTGGACCCCCACACAGGCCTGTGTGGGGAGGTGGGGACTAGCACACAGCCTAAGTGGGAGGCTTGGGCCCTACAGACAGACTCTCAGAGACCCTCCCCCACGCCCCAGTCCCAGCCTTGGCTGGGCGTCTCCTGGCTCAGACCCTGATGTGGCCCTGTTACCCTGGTGCCCGACGGAAATAGGAGGCCGGCAGCCTGCCAGAGTGGGGCAGACCAGCCAACAGCAAGGGTAGGGTGGGGGCGAGGATCTCCACCCCTCCCCCGGGGTTGCCTTGTCTGTTGCCCAAACACTCGGGGTGCCTCCTACCCAGACCAGGTGGCCAAGTGGCCAAAACCCTCAAAACAACAAATATGCCCTGAGAGTCCTGCTGGGACACCCCCACCCCAAAGCTCTAGGATGTCTCCTGTACAGCACCCCCAATGCAGACCACAGCCTCAGCCTAGGGGGCCTGGAGACACTCCCTCAAGCCCCCATGGGGCCCCCATGTCTCTAGAACTGACAAACGATCTCTCTGGCCCTCCTCAAAGGGTGCCAGCTGCTCATACACCCCCCTCGCTACAACCCCCAGACACACCTAACAGCTGCAGGAAGTCCTCTCTGGCTCCCCAGACGCCCCCCTCCCTGCAGGGCCATGCCTAGGGAGCCCCTGTTTCTTGCACACTGCTCTCTTGTCCCTGTCCAGCTGGCCACCAGCTCAGGGAGCCCCAGCTGGCTGGAGGGGTGGGCAGCTGGGGAGCAGGGCTTTGGGGAATCAGCATCCCAGGCTCCCTTCCCAGGGCCTCTCCCAGCGCTTGACTTCCCTGATGATGCTGAAAGGGACAGCCATTTCCTGGTCTAACTCCAGGAGGTGCGGAGGAAGACATCCCCAACTTCAGTCCCTCTTCCTCATCCCCCCTGCCATCCACCCCACAAAGCCTGTGGAGACAGTGGGTGCAGCCTGAGTGAATAACCTGTCTGAGGGCGGAGGTCAGGTGGACAAGACAAGGTCAGGCCTACGTTACACCGGAGCTGACTTTTCGCTGAACCTTGGCTGACTATGCCCTTGGATCAAAGAAAGCCTACAGCCTACCCTGGCACCAGGCACCACACAGAAAAAGACCCAGGAACCAGGTCTGGGGAACAATTTAAGCAGGGTTATTCCCTCTACTTCAAAAACGGGTCTGCTGGATCAGAATGGCCAGATTAGAAACTCTAGCCGTCCCCAGAAAAATGTGTCTCAAAGCCACCAGAACCCCATGCCTGACCCTCCCTTCCTTGGATGTCCAGTAAGGACAAGACCTGCAACTGGGCCAGCAATCCAGATGCAGGAAGCAGCACACTATGGGGGGTCAAAGCCAGGCCGGCTCCGGGACCACCCCCACCTTTTTTTTGAGTCTTGCTCTATTGCCCAGGCTGGAGTGCAGTGGTGCAATCCTGGATTCAAGCGATTGTCCTGCCTCAGCCTCCTGCGTAGCTGGGATTACAAGCATCTGTCGCCACACCCAGCTAAATTTTTTTTGTATTTTTAATAGAGACAGGGTTTCGCCATGTTGCCCAGGCTGGTCTCGAACTGTTGACCTCCGGTGATCCGCCCCCCTCGGCCTCCCAAAGTGCTGGGATGACAGGCGGGAGCCACCGCGCCGGGGCCCCGGCCCCTTTCACCCCACCCAGAAAAACAGCCCGACCTTAAGCCTCAAGCCTCAACGCTCCTACCGAGTCCCCCTTTCTCCTGTCAGCTACTGCCCTCTGCCGGTCGGGAGAGGAAATGCCTTCTCTCCAAGGGGAAGGGAAGGGGCCCCATCAATACAGTGAGCATTTCAAAAGCAAACAAGGACATTTGGCTTGATATTCACATTCGAAAGGCTAGTAAATGGGAATGACAGGGACTCAGTTCTCATGAAATACTGAACCCCAATCCTAGCCGTGCTTCCTGGACTCCCTTGGGGCATTGAGGAAAGCCCAAAGGGCAGCTTTTTGGGGTCCCAGGGGACATGCACACAGAGGCAGATGCCAGCATCACTAATTCACCACCGCCACACCCACATAAACACACCCCTCTCTGTACCCCGGCCCAGGAGCAGACACTCTCACTCCTGAGGGGCTGCTGCAGAGGGCAGGGCTGGGCCTGGCTCACAGCAGGCGATGGGGTCTGGGCCCAGGTATCTGGCTAACCCCTAGCCTTCCCCATTACCTGTGATCCCTCCTCTCCCCCAGCCAGGCGCTGGTAAGCAGCTCTCTCCCCCATGGAGCCCAAACTCCCGGTGGCTGCGGTCAGGGAGGGAAGCTACGTCCGCAGCCCCCGCCCCGCAGCGGCACCGGCAGCGTCACTGCCCTGCGTCCTGAGGGGCCGGGCCTCGAGCATCCTCCAGAAGGAGCTCAGGGCTGCTACTGCGTCCAAGCCTGGGAGAGGCCCCAGTCGGTGACCCCCGCCCCCTACAGCCTCATCTGCCATCGGCCAGCAGCCTGGGGGGGTCGCACAACTCCTCCTGCGGGCCTGCGGCCATTCCTTCCTGCAGCCGGTCCCAGCTCCTCTCCTCCTCCCCACGGCGCTGCTCCCACCCTCTCCCAGCAAGCCAGCTGTGCCAGCCCCGCGCTGACCCCCACCGAGAGCCGGGGGCTCTGCCTTCGCTGACCACAGAACCGGGCTCCACGCAGCCCTCGGCCCGCCTCCAGGGCCCCAGACCCGCCCATGGGGCCCTGGTTCACGAGTCCTCCGTATTCCACTAGAAGAGGCCATCTAAGAAGATCACAGAAGAGATAGCTCCGTCCGACTCAATCTGAGACCCCTCCTCCTACACATCCCGGGGTCTGCGGCCTGCCCCACCCCAGCCTGCCCCCGGCGGCCGCTCAGCTCCCAGAAGGCCGGGCGCCCACCTGCTCGGCCCTGTGCTCAGCCGGCTCCGCGCCGCCTCCTGCGCAGGCCACGCCCCCAAAGCAAGCCACGGCCCCACAGGCCGCGCCCCCACCCTGCAGGCCCCGCGCCCATTTCACCGCACTCCACTCCGGCAACGCAGCACGCGCTGTGTGCCGGGAATGCTGGGCCGACCGGGTACTGCGCTGACCTCCCTGACTTCAGAGCAGAGACACGAGGGCCGGGGCTCCTGCGGAAAAGCTGCTCCAACACTGGCCCACGTGGGGTGCCGCACCCAGCACTGGCGCAAGGCCATCGCCGGCACAGGAAGTCCCAGGGCAGAGACTCTTCCTCTCCCCCGGGGCCACAAGGCATCACTTCTCATTCTGGTGGCATCTGAAGCAACCACGGACTCTTTGGTACCAGGTATTTAGGGCTGAGGTCAGGGCACCCTCCCTGGGTTGGGGCAGAGGAGAGA